CTGAGGCACTCTAACAGCTTCTGGCACTGCATTGGCACTCTCCATGTGAGTGGAAGCAATGGCTGGGAGCAAATGACAGTAAAATCAAACTAAATTTTTTTCCGGACATTTGGAAAAATTTCTATTCTGGACATTTGGAAAAGAAGTTTTGTAACTCCCTTATTTAAATTCGACAATCGCTCCAATATTAAAAACTATAGGCTTATATCTAAACCGTGTGTTGTAGCTAAGTTACTAGATTATATAATCACGGATAAACTCAAATTTCAAATTTCAAATTTGCTCATTGAAGAACTACATGGCTTCAGATCAAGATGATCTACTGTAACAAAGCTACTTATTTTTCAACATTTTATTATTGATAAATTGGAAGCAAATTCTCAGGTTGATGTGGTTTACACTGATTTTACTAAAGCATTTGATAAAATAAATCATTGTATTTTATTTCATAAACTTAAAAACATTGGCATACATGGAACCTTCTTGAAATGGATTGAATGTTTTTTAGTTGGGCGAATTCAAAACGTTAAATATAAATATTTTTTATCTAAAAATATTTTAGTTACTTCAGGAGTACCTCAAGGTTCCCATCTAGGCCCGTTATTGTTCTTACTATTTATAAATGATTTAAAGATTATGATTCCAAAATGTTTCTTTTTGCTATATGTGGATGATCTGAAGTTATTTATCAAAATTAATTCAATTGAGGACTGTAGAATTCTACAAATGTATCTTGACATACTGTATTCTTGGTGTAATTTGAATCAATTACCATTAAATATAATGAAATATAAAAGCATGAGTTACTCCAGATTGAAAAATCCAGTTTTGTTTTCATATAAATGGTCATAGTCTTGAATGTGTTACTTAATTCAAGGATTTGGGTGTAATATATGATAATAAGCTGAGATTTAATCATCATAGTGACTATATTCTTGCAAAATCAAATCAAATGCTCGGTTTTATTAGAAGGATGACTTCCGAATTTTCAAAGTAGTATTGTCTTTTCTCTTTAAATCTGTATGTTCATTTAATTAGAAGATGGTTGTGAGAATGGAATTCAAATAAACACGCCAATTTTATATTTTTGCCAAAAGTAACAAGGTTACAAAGTATTGGGGAAAACACAGTGAACTTCTTGTATGACAGATACAGGTGCACTGCAATTATATTTTGTTGAATTACTCGGGGGAGTCAGTGAGAGAGATATAACAGGCCAGGGTTCGCCGTTCACACATGTCGAGGGTGCGGGGGAATGAGAAGAGTCATTGGTGTTGATCCCATTATTAGGCTACGTGTAAACATCTAACCTGTGAGCAGGTAACGAAGTCACTACTGAATAGATAAGAGCAGGAAGAGTAGAATTGAGGCTGCGGGCGGTCAATCCGGAGAGACTCACAACCTTTGTCAATCGCCAAATAAGCAGAATGATCAATGCCTTTCGTTTGTTGGTTTGGCCCCGATTGTGTTCTTCTGCTGTGCCAAGGCGCTAGTGGAACTTCTGGATTAATCTATGTCTTCAATTTGGATTTACCTTTATGAGTGGATAAAGCCATCACAGCTCAAGAAGAAAGCTTTTCTTGAGATGTAGATATCTTATGTTGTTTAGCTTTAACTCTGACATGGTACTGCCATATATTTATACTAGATTTTTTGTTAATTGTAGGCCATTCTTGTCATGGATTCCGTACGATGTGTGATTTCGGTTATACATAACAAATGTAGTTTGTATTTCTCAGGGATGAACAGGTAATGAAAGTGATAGGTAAAATAGAAATAAATAATATGAGCAGAAAAAATATAAATCACTTCCCCATAAATTTTTTTAAGGAATAAATATATCTAATTTGAATAAACGCTCAACATTTTTCTGATTATAATTTAGTGCAAGAGTTATCCTGGAACTTTTTCCTGGCTTATCAAAACAATAAAAGATAAATTGCAGTTTTCGTTTTATCCGAAAGTGCCATCCTGCCGATCCAGCGTATGGGCATTGATTTGAATAGGGAGGGGGTGGATACCAAGCAGTTAAACCACTCATGTGACGGACTATAACTTTGGGTGTCTATGTGGTCGATCCTTAGAATTGTTGGCAGTGGCACACAACTGAACTTGAGTGAAGCACTGTGTCAGAAGGATGTCTACTCGCCACACGGAGCTTTCAGAGGACTGTGGCGAATGGTGGGAGGAGGATGGGCAAACCGTGTAATTAGGTTTGCAAGTCAGTCGTAGATGGTTTTACAAGCGAAGCAGAGAAGGGTAGTGGAGGTAAGGGGTTAAAGTAGTGCACGCTGCAGGACATTGACGATCGTATTACCCTTGCTGAAATTCTGAACTTTCAATGGGTTCTCGATTTTGGAAGCGAGATATGGCCAGGGACAGAGAACATTATCTGAATCCAGAATTTTTTAACATTTCTTTCCCTTTTAGAAAATGGGCCATTCCTTGAAATATGATAGTTACGGCTATTAAAGCCTCAGGGCCAAAGGAAAGATTTTGGATCTTGCGATACTTTGACACATAATTGGACTGCTCATACAGACACTCAGGCTGCTAACTCTACAATATATACTGCTTAACTATAGAATATAGGCAAAGGTAGGTAAAAACACACATACTAATGTAGTCGGCTTTTATGGCATTAAGTATTCTAGATAATTGTGCAAGTTTTTTATCGGATTAGGGCTTTCTATATCACATTACAAAATCGTGCCAGTTGCATCTTCTAGTCCAAGTAATTTTGGTTGTTGCACTTCATTTTCAGTTCTTTGAAGACATGGGCAGACAAAGTAGTAAGCATATTTAAAGTCGAATAGACATGACATAGAATATGGATTTTTGTGTTCTATACGCAACCAAAACAAGTGACACCCTTTTAAAGAAACAGTCCCCAAGGGACACAGAGAAGTTCAATGGGACTGCAATTTGTATCATTGTGACTATTGAGAAACTACATGTGCAGAAAAGTCCTCCCACATTTGAGTTTGAATCAGGCTCGCCTATTGAAAATTGGCATCTATGTGGTGGTTAAACATATGTACTGAGAAAGAAGTGAAAGGAATAACATTTCAGTTATCTATTATGATTAAGCAGGCCAATTTACTGTTTTCACTCTGCAGACTTGAGCTAACAACAGTAATTTCTATTGCAGCTCAGCGGAAGCGTGGCAACTGTTGGAGAAGACCTGTTCTGGGTGTGCTTATATCTTGATTTGATATTGATGAAGCTCATGGCCCAAATAAGATTTCCGAGGCAAAATGAGAAATGGGATTTGAAAAGTGAATTAAAAAACAAGCAAACAAACACTACCGCTGGTGTTATGTTGCAAGGCCCTGATAACTCTGAGGAAGTTCGGGGGTAAAGAACCTGGACCACGTACTGGCCGCCGTGAGTAGCTGCAACAACCTGCAGCAAATGAGCAGGAAACCTAGCACTACATCTAGAGAAGAGATGCTCCAGCATAACGCACTCTTGATTTCTCCATTTCTTTTTATAGATATTATCACACTACTTGTTGTGAGGCCCGGCGGACAATTTCTAAGAGAGACTGTCATTGTTGTTTCAATATTGGTAGTTACAGCTTTGGCGAATGTAGGCTCGTCTTCGTATTGTTGAAATTTGTGAGGCACTTTTTTCATTAACGATGAATTTCAGATATGCGATTTATTTTTTTTACTTTTGGGTCTGGCAGTATGTGTGCAATTTCTGTGTTGAAAAACATGAACTACAAATATGAACATTTATCTTTAAAAGATTCTTTATTGACATACTTATTTGTTTCATGCTTTTTACATATGAAAAATATAAAAGGAGTATTGTTCTTCTTTATTATTTGTGGAGGACTGGTTTTTTCGAGTTATCTATCGAGATGTTAGCGGCTTGGACAATCTCTCTTTATACTGATTATGACATTAGTAACTTAATTATCTCAGAGACAATCAAGAAGTGTTACAGACGGCGCATGAGTGCATGTGTTAAAGGCATTTGTGATCTTAATCTAAACTATTAGACCAGATTTTTAATTGAGAAAATCCAAGGACAAAATTTAGTGATTAATAATAATATGAAAACTGTCTGTAGAACCTTCAACATTCGACGTAATTGGGATTTTATTTCTGTAGAGATTTTTATACGAGTTTGAACTTCTAAATTGCAGGGAGTTTTCTTTAACACATGTCACAGAAATTGAACTGTGTATACAACTTCAACCATACTGCTAAACCTTGGATATGCAAGACAGATGGGTGCTTAAAATTTCTTACTTGTGGCATTTGGGGGCTGGTAGTCATCTGAGGTTGCTAAAGTTCTGGCACTGCATTGGCAATCTGCCATGTGAGTGGACAGGAATGGCTGGGACAAATGACAGTAAAATCAACGTGAGAAAATTTTTTCCGGAGCATTTGGGAAAAAGTTGTCTATGTGCGTGGAGGCATTGGGAAAGGAGAATGCTTCGTGTATTACTGCCTTATTAAGATTCGAGTTAATCGGTCCAATACGTGTAAGAAATAGCTATAGGATTATAGTTGAACCCTTGTGTATAGTGGGCTAAGTTACTACGAGTGTATTAGATAAGGATAAACCAATTTAAATTTCAATTTTCTCCATTGGGGAAGGACTACAGTGGCATTCAGATCAACATGGATCACATGTAAAAAGCTACGTTATTTTTCACATTTTTATGATTTGATTAAATTGGAAGCAAATTCTCAGGTTGATGTGGTGTTTACACTGATTTTACTAAAGCCAATGTTTGAGGTAATCAATCGTACTTGTTATTCATAAGCTTAAAACAGATAGGCGAACTGACAACGGAACGTTTTTGAAATTTGGATATGAATGGGTTTTTTGAAGTTGGGAGATGTCAAAAGGGTTAAGTATAAATATTTTTTAATCTAAAAATATTCGCGTTACTTCAGGGGTACGGCTCAAGTTGCCAGTCGTAGGCGCGTTATTGGCTGTCTTTTAAGATAACGATGTTATAGAATGATTTAAAGATTTATGATTCCAAATGTTTTCTTTTTTGCTCATATTGTGGGAATGATCTGGAAGGTTTATTTATCAA